CATCTCCTTTCCTTGCAACTGTGACTTCAGTACCCCAAAGAGATACATGATATCGGATGAACCCACTATCTTTTCTTAGTTCGTCTATTTCAACACGCCTCATTCGGTAAGGGGCAACAGAAATAGGTTGGGTGCTAGACTGAAGATTTATGGTGAACTTAACTTTCTTGTCTACTAGTAGTCCGGATAGTTCATCAAGAAATACATCCAAGAAGTCTAGAACAATTGAGATCTCTTGAATGCAAACTTCTTTCTTAGGTTTGCCCTGTATCACATCCTAGTTGGCTTTAACATCTTGCTGAGTTAAGTTGTAAGCTCTGCCTTGAATAGGAGGTCAGACCTGGTTCTGATTCTATGGGCACTCTCTCGCGTAATGTTGGGTACTCTCATATATACGACAAGTATTATTGAGACGATAACAGGGTCTGTCTCCATGATTCTTACTACAATGCTGCAAATCCTACAATGTCTTGTTAGCAGAGCCTGAGGAGGAGTCTGAGTCACTGGCCTAGACTTTTTGTTCTATTAAACCGGTACAGTGGGTGCTGGTCTGTGGTGTAAAACCAAGGGTCTGGGATTCTCCACTGCTGGAAGAAAGATGCGAAGGTTCCTCTCTATTAGTTGTGCCTTGGCCAGAACAGCTGAGTAGGTACTAAGCTCAAATACGTACAGTTGTTGTATGATCTCATGGCGGAGGCCCCACTCGAACTTCTTTACCTTCCTGCCCTCATTCATCATGCTCTTAGGGGAAAATCAGTCCAACTTTAGGAACCTTTGAGTCTACTACAACACAGTCATCTCACTCTGTACTAGGTGTGCAAACTTCATCTCCTTCAAATATCGGAGGTACTTTGGTAGGTACTCTGTATTGAAGGTCATCAGGAACTATTCCCAAGTGACTGGACCTGGTAGGGTGGCCTACTTGAGCTGCCACCAATGGCCTGCCTCTCCCACATGCATGTAGGTGGCAAGTACAACCTTCTTTTCAGAAACCACCCAAAGAGTCGCGAAGGTCTTTTTTGTCTCAGCTAACCAATACTCGGCCTCTTCAAAAGAGGATGCACCTATAAAGGTAGATGTGTTTAGTCTTTTGTACCTTTCAATGTAGTTTGGGTTCATCATAGGTGGAACTGGGTCCCATGAAAGAGGAACTGAATCGTGTTGGGGAGGGATCGGGTGGTCCTATGGTGGTATCGAATGTTACGGTGGAGGCATCAAGTTGTACTGTGGTGGTGTTGGATGATGCAATGGAGGCATCAGATTGTACTGTCATGCCGGATGGTATGGTGGAGGAGCAGGGTTGTACTGGGGTGGCTTCAGATCTTTCCGTTGTAAGGGTGGCTCAAATTATGGAAGCGGGAGAGGGTCAGACAGCTCCCTCCTTTCCTTTCGGGCTGCTGGGTAGAGATGAGTCTCTCCAGCATCTCAAAGAGTCGGTCAACATTCTCTCGAAATGAGCCATCGTAAGCTGCTTGATTTAATGGGGGTCTTCCTCTTCTCATTTTTGTATGCCTGCATTTCACAAGAAAAGGTTGAGCGATAGTTTGTATTTGGTATTTTTAGGTCTTTGTGTAAGGAATAGTTACGAGGAACGCGACTCTGATACCAACTGTAGAGGCCCAGAACTTAAAGAAAAATGAATTCATGAATTAAATGCGGAAACGATTAATAGAGTTAGGGTTTACGTTCCTTACACAATAATTTTGAATGTCCAATGGGGTTACGAGAATATCCATTCTAAAAGACAAACAGAAATTAAAAAAATAAAACGAAAAGCGAATAACTAACCATCATAGGACAACTTTCACTAGCACTTAAAGGGAGTCCGAATAGTGAACTTCTCACAACCCTTTTGCTAATTAGGATCTGGATCTTGGTTCTCTTGATCTAAAATAGTTAATGAAAGAGTGAGTTATACTAGTCTAGTAAGAATATCACACTAATCACAGGTACGAAAAACTAAAAATTGGTAAAAAATTTAGAAAAATAACTAATCGAACCATTGCTTTATTTAAATACATTTAAACTTGAAAATATTTGTTTAATACTTACCATAACGAGTATTCTAAAGACAACCTATAAAGACTCATATCCATATCACTTTTCATTTTCATGCATAAGAGAACGAGAAATAATAACTTTCCTTTCTTACCTACTTACCGGTACTCCTGGGGGTCCATAGGGGTATTCTCCCTACACGTGAACCCAATATCTAATTTTATAATTGACCGGTCATTCCCATACCCTGTCCGGTAATGGGCGCTAAATATTCATCACCTCGATACCCCGTCCGGTATGAAAGTGAATTATATCTCCCAAACCATTCTGATAAGGGACTTCTCAGGCCTGTCCGACTGAGATAACATTCACGGTAGAGTTTCTTATGTACCGGGCCAGTTCGTCCTGTCCCTGGATAACCAGCAAGTCTTTCATGTACAGATTTTAATCAACAAAGAACCAACAAACTCATACTAATATCTCATATCACATTCATATATCAATTAAACTACATTTATACTGACGGTATATTACCAAAATAACCAGACAAGTTGATAAGACTATTGAACTATAAATTAAAATTATATGCTACACGAAAATCAAGCAAGTAAGATAGTACAGGAAAATAAACAGAAAATCAAGACAATTGTGAATTAACTAGTTCCGGCTCCACTAGTAACCTGTAATTATTTTTAGAATTTTCTAATTTTTCATAAAAATACAAAATTATACATTGTTAAATCTCAATATATTGAAACGGAGAATATGGTGAGAGATCTTTACCCGGATCAATGTTTCAAGACGTTGAGTTGTCTACTATGCCTCCTAACAGTACTAGGTTCCTTGAATTTTTTATGTGAAATTCAAAACACTCGTCACATGTCTAAAAATACTCTAAAAAATCCGAAATCAGTGTCCAAAACTCATTCCGGCCAATTTTAGAGTTCTGACATGGCGGTGCCGCCATGCTCCAGCGCCCACAGCAGCGATTCACCTCGACCTAGTCAATTTTAGCCGATTTTTACCAATTTTAGCCGACTTTGATCGTATCCCTGTAAGAAAACACATTAGGGGCTTCGGTTGGCCGAAAAATTTGTAAAAAACCGAACTACCGGCCGAGGAGACCTTCGGGTGTGACGGCTGCACCGGTCCTCCTTTACGGTTGAGGTTCTTTCTTCGGCTACCTTATACAGAAAAGACGGTGAATACAATAATCGAAAAATTACATGAAATAGGAATCGGAAAAGGGCTCATCGGAGGGATTTTAGGGTTTTAGCCGCCGCGACTCCGTCAGACTTTGCCCACGATTTTTGACTCATCTGCCATCCTTCTTGCTCCGATTTGGTTACAGAAGTACTTAGAATCGAATTCCGAGCAGGTATGGATAATTTTTACCTTTTTTGGCGGTCAGTGGTAACTCCGGTGCGGCGACGGTCGGCAATCAGCCTCTTTCTCTAACGTCTAGTTCTTTTTCTCCAGCGGGGGCTGGAGGCTGGGGTTTAGGTTTCTGTGTGAGGTAAAGTATTTATAACTATCTCGCGTTGATCTAAGTTGTCCGTCCGATCGATCTCGTCCATCCGATCGCTCATAAGGAGAAAACGAATCTGTACCATTTATCGCGATTAATTTCGACCGTTCGATTGCGCCAAAAGAGGAAACAGTTCTTGTTCGTCCATGCGCACGGGCCCAATCCTGGGCCGTTCAATCGTGGGGCACCCTGATCATCAGCGTGGCTTCCTGCGTGGCACCGACATCAGCGCACCTTGCTATGTGGCGCGCTCCGATTCGTCGAGACTACTGATTTGGTAGTTCTACGTGGCCGAACTTTCTATTTGCTCTTTAATCTGTTGTTTCCAATTTTTCTTTCAAAAACACCTCTATAACTCAAATTTTTACCTTTTTTTTTTCAAAATTATTTTTAATTTAATTCTTAATTCATTTTTTCTCAAAATTTTACTTAAATAAAAATAAAATAAATTAATCAATTATTTTAAATTAATAATTAAAAAATAAAAAATTTATTTCGAGTCCGAGTATTACAATTTTTGTTTATAATTTAAATGATTACCCAATGTAATTTAATGTTAAAACTAAATTAGTGCCTAATAGGAGAAGGGCTTTTCTCACGAGGGGATTATTAATTTTTTAAATGAGTCAATAACGTTTAGTTCTTCCTTATTCCTTATTAGAGGTTGGAAATGAATTTGTATATTGATAAAGAGAAATATATATATATATATATATATATATATCTTTTCAAAATCACAAGAGGCGATTGATTTGAAAAACAAAAGATTTCTAATCATCTTGTTTTGTTATCCAATAACAAAACTAAACCAATTAATTGGTAAAATGGGGATACAGAGTTTACCTGTTTAAAAGATATCTATTCCTCCCTCTTACTAGAATACCTTTTTTTTTTTTTTTACTGTATCATTTGATAACCCAATAAACAGCTTACCTTCAGTTCAAAGTAGTGTATTTGTTATTACTTATGTTATGAAATATTACCAAAAATTTATAATTTATAACTGTAATTTATCGTTCAAAATTCTTGCAGTAGTTTAACGCATTTAGATAGTATTGTATATATTTTCATTAGGTTTGAGTCATACTTCATCTCTTATTCAAAGAAAAAAAAAAAAAAATCACATAAAAAATATTCCTAAAACTAAGCCCACCATGTTCATGTCTGCCAAGTATAATTATGGGGGAAAAAAACAAAAAAGAAAGGAAGAGGTAAAAGATATCTGTGCACGTTTCTGTGTAAGTTTAGATGTGAAGAAAAGCACAAAGAGAAGCAGAAAACAGAGTAGCATATTAATAAATTATATCGTTACAGTAATTCATAATTTATAGTATTTGTGAGGTGAGAAAAAGGGTTAATACATATACATATGTATATATATATATATATATCTGAACTTGCTTTTCGCAATCCAAGGTTCCTTTCTTTTCCTACAAATGCTACCAAGGAATTTTCTTCATTCTTGGATCATCTCTCATTCAATCTTGTACTAATTTTCCCAGATATGTATACATATACATATACATATACATATATATATATATACATTAAAGGAACGCATTTCTAACACAGAACCCATTTCTTGGTCAAATTGTAAATAATTCAATTCTCAAGTTTTGGCTTCAATGGCTTCAGTTGCTCTCAAACGATTAGACACAATTGCAGAAAGCATGCCTGATGCCTTGAAGCAGGGACGCTATCATATTAAGAGATGCTTTGCCAGGTATATATATATATATATATATACACACACACACACATATGCATACGTATATTAGTTACGTAGTAATTATATGAGACAACCATATGAGCTTTATATATACATATATATATATATATATATCCTTATCAAAACTTAAAAGATGGTTTAAGTAGTAATCTTCTGATAGAAACAGCATGCATTTTCTTTCTCACCCATGTGAACTTTGAAATTACAAGCAAAACAAGTAGAAAATTTAACATAAATACACAAGAAATTGGTCTTCTAATCAACAAAAGTAAAAATGAATTTTTTTTTAATAATTTATACGCCAAACACAAACATCATAGAAATTAAAGGGATACAATTCTACGTCGAACAAATACAAAATTTATAATAATATAATCACTAAACAATTCTTCTTAACATAACAATTCTGTCTTTCTATCTTATAGTTTATTTAATTAATTATTTATATGTGCTCACATATGCATCATGTGAGGTGAGATAGTATTTATCTATGCCTTTATCTACTTGCATAGATATTGCATTAGGGAAAGTATTTTCTGGGTATTATCCACACAGTGCAACATAATATATAAAGATGTCTAATAGTTTATATATTGTATATTACATACATGTATGTACGTGTATTTTGGCCAAAGTTTTTTCTTCTGGGTGTCTAACATTTTATTGGGAAAATCCAAAAAGATTTGTTGCAGAAGGGAAAAGATTAATGAAACGTCAAGATTTGATGATTGAATTGAAGAAATGCATTGATGACAAACATGAAAGAGAGAAGATCCTTGAGGGACTGTTTGGTTACGTATTATCATGCACTCAGGTTTCTTTCTCAAATTTTTTCTCTTCTTCTTTTTTTTTTTTTTTCCTTCTCCATTTTTTTTCATATGAAAACAATTGGGTTTGCAGGAGGCAGCCGTAGTACCGCCGTTAGTTGCATTTGCTGTTAAACCAAGTCCTGGTTACTGGGAATTCGTTAAAGTTAACACTGAAAATTTAGCTGTTGATTCCATCACTTCTTCCCAATATTTGAAGTTCAAGGAGATGATTTTTGATGAAAACTGGTATCTATATCCTCAAATTTCTCTTCAAATTAATATATAAGCATGATTGTTTGCATAAAAATATAACGTGAATAAACAAAAGATTCGCTTATAAGTTTTTGTTGTTGTTGTTTAATTTTTGTTTTGACTAGTATTCTGAATACTAGTTTAGTAGTGTTTAAAAAAACTATAGTATTTTTTGGTATATTAAAATTTGCAATTTTATTAGTAGTTGTATTTTTATTTTTCATCATAATGAAAAATTTTTTCTAGATCTTGTCCGTGGAAGTAGGTGTTATTGTCGAACCACATAAATCTTCTGTATTTTCTTCTTTTACTCTTTATTTTGTATGATTGTGTTCATGATTCAGATATTCTACTTGATTTCTGAAGTTCCAAATTTGGTCAGCCAAAAATCATCTCTTCCAGCTCTGTTCACTGTCAACCCAGATGGTTTATTTTATATAAAAAAAAAAAAAAAAAACAACAAGACAAATTATAATTGGTCAGTGTTTATGAATGCAGGGCAAATGATGAGAATTGTTTGGAAATAGATTTTGGAAGCATTGACTTCTCTACTCCTAAACTCACTCTACCTTCTTCCATTGGAGATGGACTTAATTTCATCTCAAAGGTCATTTCCACAAACCTTCACACTGCTGTGTCTCTGTTCAACTATTTACAGGGCCTTAATCATCAAGGGGAGGTCAGCTTTATCACATTCATCTATACATTACATTATATTCTTCTCAATATACTAATTTCTGAATCTGTCACTACTCATAAATCACAAAATCTTGGTTGGCAAGTAATCAAGAATACTTTTGTATGACAGAATTTGATGATCAAAGAAAATATAAACAGCCTAAAAAAGCTCCAAAAAGCACTAGTAATGGCTGAAGGGATTGTGTCAGCTCAGCCGAAAGACGCAGTATATCAGGATTTTGAGCACAGGTAATGAGTCATTGAATTTTTCTTATGTGGGTTTTAATTACTTGGGGATTAAGATTGACTAAGAGGTTGGTTTTAGGTTAAAAGAGCTAGGGTTTGAGAAAGGATGGGGAGATACTGCAGAAAGAACAAAAGAAACAATGAATATACTTTCTGATGTATTACAAGCGCCAGACCCTGCAAAGCTAGCTAATCTAATTGCCAGGCTTCCCACCATTTTCAACATTGTAATCTTCTCTCCTCATGGCTACTTTGGTCAGGCAGATGTACTTGGATTACCCGATACCGGAGGCCAAGTTAGTGCATGAACGATTTACTTTTTCCTTTTTTCTTTCTTGTTTCAGTTTATTACATGTTCATTACATGTATGCAGGTAGTTTACATTCTTGATCAAGTAAGAGCATTAGAGGAAGAACTGGTTCTCAGAATTAAGCAGCAAGGTTTGAGTGTGAAGCCTCATATTCTTGTGGTAAGCTGTTTTGAGGATAGAGAATTAGACTTATACCAGAAAGATATATATCAAGATTATATGTAAATTTTGTATGATCAGATAACAAGGCTTATACCAGATGCTAGAGGGACAAAGTGCAATCAAGAGTTGGAACCTATTGCCAACACTAAGCATTCTCACATTCTTAGGATTCCATTCAGGACAGATAAAGGAATTGTTCGCCAATGGGTTTCCCGTTTCGATATTTACCCATATCTTGAGAGATTTGCTCACGATACAATTAGTAAGGTGCTTGAATACATGGAATGTAAACCTAATCTCGTAATTGGAAACTACAGTGATGGAAATCTCGTGGCATCTCTAGTGGCTTCCAAGCTTGGAATAACTCAGGTTCTGTCAATTATCTTCTTCACTTTAGTATAGTATTTCTACTTTAGTAACACTCAGCTTTACATTCATCACCATCTGTGGATTTGAATCCAGGGAACTATAGCTCATGCTTTGGAGAAGACAAAGTACGAAAACTCAGATGTGAAATGGAAGGAATTAGACACGAAATACCACTTTTCATGTCAATTCACTGCTGATTTACTCGCCATGAATGCAGCTGACTTCGTCATAACCAGCACATACCAAGAAATTGCCGGAAGGTTTGTTTTTTCAATTCACCGAAATTAGTTAACCAACCACCTTTTCGTATAGGCCTAATATATGCAACAACTATCTGTTGTATTGCTCAGTAAGGACAAGCCAGGACAATATGAAAGCCATACAGCATTTACGATGCCTGGTCTTTGCCGAGTGGCCTCAGGCATCAACGTGTTTGATCCAAAGTTCAACATTGTTGCTCCAGGTGCTGATCAATCTGTCTATTTCCCTTACACCAAGAAACAAAAGCGTTTAACCTCCTTCCATCCTGCCATTGAAGAGTTACTCTATAGTAGAGAAGACAACAATGAGCACATGTAAGTACAGTCTCAATTACTTGCAGATAACGTAGAATCAATTGTTTAACTAAAGAGAAAAATTATGGTTTTGCAACAGTGGATATCTTGCAGACAGAAGAAAACCAATTATCTTCTCAATGGCAAGACTTGATACAGTAAAGAACATTACAGGACTAACCGAATGGTATGGGAAGAACAAAAGGTTGAGAGATTTGGTGAATCTTGTTGTTGTAGCTGGATTCTTTGATCCATCCAAATCAAATGACAGAGAGGAAATTGCAGAAATAAAAAAGATGCATGCTTCGATTCAGAAATATCAACTTAAGGGTCAGTTCAGATGGATAGCAGCACAAACTGACAGATACCGAAATGGAGAACTCTACCGTTGCATTGCAGATACGAAAGGAGCATTCATTCAACCTGCGTTATATGAGGCTTTTGGCCTGACAGTTATTGAGGCAATGAACTGCGGATTACCCACTTTTGCCACTAACAAAGGCGGTCCAGCAGAAATTATTGTTGATGGCATATCAGGTTTCCATATTGACCCGAACAATGGCGATGAATCAAGCAATAAGATAGCAGATTTCTTCGACAAGTGCAAGACGAATGCTTCATATTGGAACAACATATCAACAGCAGGCCTTGAGCGAATCAACGAATGGTATGTATATACCTGTATTAATGTCTATATTTACATGTGATAACCAAATATAAAAAGCTTAAACTTGATCACTAACATGACAAGAAACTTGAGTGATGTAGTGATTTTGTTGCTTTGCAGTTATACATGGAAAATATATGCAAAGAAAGTGTTAACCATGGGAGGTATGTATGGATTTTGGAGGGAGTTGAATCTTGATCAGAAGGCAGCCAAAGATCGTTACAATCAAATGATTTACAATCTTCAATTCAGAGAATTGGTGAGAAAATAATTCGACAAATCATTGTTGAATCAAGATGTTCCGGAATATTGATTTGCGTAATCTTTGGTAATCATATCGCAGGCAAAGAAGGTACCGATCACAACAAATGAATCCCAACAACAGGTATCAGAGATGATGACGGAATCTCAACTCCTGAAACCAACTGAACCACAACAAGAAACACCATTGGTGACACCTAAACCAGCATCAGTTTACACAGAAGAACCTAAAGGTCCAGCAGAAGGAATTAAACAAATAGCAAAAGAGACAACTGAATCTCCAAACCAACAATCAACAAGGCATGTAGCCAAACCCAAAACCAGCTCATTAAGAAAACAAAGTGCATATATATTTCTCCTTTTCTTTCATCTTCTTTTTCTTTAATCACTTTTATTTAATCCAGATGCTAACATTTTTTAATCTTGCTGGCTAAAACTTGCAAATATGTTGGGAAAAATTTTAAGAGATAGATTAGTTTTAAGTAAGACTTGATTGGAAATGGGAAAAAGAAAAGTGAGAGAGTAATAGAAATACTCAATTTGTGGTGGTTCCAAAAATTAAGTATAATTCATTAATTATCTATAAAAACTCAAATACATATTAGTTATTATTTTCTAACTCTTAAATAACTTAGAATTTCTTCTACAGTGAGAATTTAGAGCAGCTGGAACCTGCGTTTCCACTACGAGGCTTATGCTTGCTTTTCAGTTCTTGGTGCTTCGTCATCTTTATTCTCTACATTC